CCTCGCCCCCCCTCCCAAAACCAACCTTGTAATGATGACTTCGATTCAGTTGCATATCTGAAGCTGGCATTAGCAATTTCGTGCTGTGAAAAAAAAAATGTTTCCAGGCGTTGCCCACAGCCTCCCCACCATCACCTTCCATCCCTGTTCAGGGTTTATTTGGCGTTGATTTTTCTGTTCTCTGCCTTTTCGTAGACATGAAGGCCGTTCTGGTATTACTAAAAATGACCGCGATGTCTAGTGTCTCTTATTTCCATGTGATCTACAATTGGAATCCCCCCTCTTCAAAAAAAAAAAATTGGGTAGGGAAAGGAAGAAGGAAAAACTGACTCTGTAGGCCCTCAAGGCATTCCTCTAATAGGATGATGGGTTTTAGGTTAAAAAATATATATATTATTGTTTTGTTCTTTTCAGTTTAGAAATAATAGGAAGAGAGGGAAAAGCAGTCATTAGGAAGTTCACTGAGCTGCTTTTTCCTACTAAGACGGGTGAGAAATGAACCTGCATTGACACTTGGCTCCATGTGAAAGCCCCAGTAACCTCTCCTCCCTTCCGTGGCCCTGGCCTTTTGTTCCTGGAGAACGGAGCTAAGGTGCTTTTTCTTGCAGACCAAAGGCAGCAGGCAAGGAGTCCCCTTGTGTGCCCATCGCCTTTAGATGGCCTTCTCATGGTTATTGTCAATGCAGACTCCCCCAAACAATTGCTCCGGGGAGACACAAAAGCAAAAACATTTGTCCTATTTTTTTAACCTCTTTGTTTTAGGTTTTTTTTTCTTTCCATCCATTCTTTAAATTTCACAGTTTCTATTTGTCTGCAGAGAGACAAACGGAACAGCATGAAGCACATTTTTACCGTAGGCCTCACTAGCGATTGGAACAGTCTCAATAGAAATCCAAATTCTAAAACACTGGCTGACTTGGAGGAGATGTGAAATTTCAGCTCGGGCTCTTAAGTCAGATTAGTACAGATTTTGAACAAAAATGCAACTACAATGAACAGATAAGAAAATGGGATTCTGGAATCATTTGGGGGAAGTGTAAAAAGGGTCATCTTTTGTTTATCTCTTAGTACCCTGCCCCATGAAGTGGTCGCTTGATGGGAAAGAATTGCAAACCCAAAGGACATTCTTCATTAAAATAAAATTTAAAAAATCCTGGTTGTTGTGCTTCTGGTATATCGTTGATTATTTTAACACACGTGTAGGGGAACTGTTGGTACATACTGTGGCACTGATGCTGTGTGGAGAATTTTTAAGAACTACGGTTTATATAAAGAGGCCATGTCCCCTCCCCCTTCTCTTTCCTCTCCTGTTTCCTTTTTCCTTTCTTCTGCCTCCAGCCTGCTTCCCCTCCAAGACTTCAGTGGTTTGTGTCAGGCGGAGTATGAAGGGATAGACAGTGGGGCCTGAGTCCACCGCTTTTTCCTGGCCCCAAACAAAGCATCCCTCTCCTATAATGTATGGATCCTAATTGCGATGCTGTCCTTAAGCATCTGTCTGCCTTTTCATTAAAATTCTCAATTTCAAGGTTTAGAAACACAAATGTAAGAATCCCCCTGGGTATAAAAGTCTTGCATGGCAAATTCTCTTTGCCCTTTCAGAAATAATATTTTTGTTAAAAAAACAAAAACAAAAACAAAAAGGAAAGAACGAGCTCTTGACCTAACATTTTAAAACTGGTTTAAGGCAAGTTCTTCATTTTTTCTTTTTTAGAATTTGGGCTTTGTAACTCAAAAGTAATTTGGAAAAGCTCTTCCCAATCACAGTTTTTTTAAAAAACAATGGTTACTCATTTGTGTCTTTCTTATGTGTGTCATTGACCAGTTTAGGGTCTGAGCTCGGAAGGATGGGTAAGCAAGTTAGATAATATTCCACTCATGATTTGGGGGTAAAAATGAATCTGTGGAATTAGCATTGTAGCGATAGATGGAGGCCTTGAGGTTTGTGTCACAGAAATGTGGATCACAACATCTGTGTGTATGCCTTGGCACAGCAGCCCCCAATCGTCTTGAGAGTGAGTTTGGGCCTGAACCCAGGAGGTACCAGTCCCCTAAATATAACTGCCTAGAAACGATGAGGTGAATTTGGGGAATGAAGTACAATTCAGCTCCAAATGTGTCTATGCTTATTTCAGGGCCTTCCCTCACCCCCCCTCCCCCCGGCATTTTTCTTTGTTAAAGCCTCAAGGTTATTTAAGAGGACTAGTTTTAAAATCAGTGTGTATGTATAATTGAATAAAGATAGAGGATCTGGAAGAATACACAAATCCATCTAAACCCAGTTGTGCTGTGAACATTGGAGCCCAGGTTTAGCGAGAAGTCAGAATGCTGACAATTCACTGTATTTCAGCTCAGAGATCATATTTACCTTTCCTGAAGTGAAAGGAGACAGCATTGGAGAGTGAGTGTGTCTGTGGGGAGAGAGAGAGAGAGAGGGGCTGGCCTCTGGCTTGGAGAGTGGGTAAGGGGAGGAGTAGGGAAGGGGTTAGCATTCCCTGATTTATTTTTTAAATATTTATCCTTTTGGCTGTTGCCAATTATGCTTTCCAGATGAGGTGAGACTAGTTTTGGAGAATTGGGAGGGAAGACTCCTCTTTTCTGCAAGTCGGTTTATTTGTCAACAGCATTCAGGACCACGCGATGATAGTGCCGGGCTGTCAGTGCTGGGTAGGCCATCGGTTAAATGTCAGGCAGCTGCTGCCCTCAGAAGAGTCAGGGCCTCCCAGAGTAGAACAGAACTTGCAACATGTATTTCAGAGAAACTGTTGATTCCATTTGTAAGTGCAGAAGTTGCCAGTTCCCTTTGAAGAGGTGTTCCTTTTGTGAATGGTGAAGTTTGAGTAGAGGTAACAACTCAGCTTTTGTGCAAGCCTTTATATTCATAATGGTGCAGAGGCTGTAGATTGCCTAGGCGCCTGTGGCTTACCTGTTAACATTTTTGCGTGTCACAGAGACAAGCTGGACCAGGCTTTACCATGTATGTCACTGGTGCCAGATTAAGATGAAGGAATGGGACCCTGAGTAGCTCTCAGTTCTACTTGTCAGGCCTCGGGAGGCGGGCTGCAGTGTCTGCTGCTTGGGACACTGGCCGTATCCGGACAGATCTCCCTCAGGTCCTTGTTCCCAGCACCTCCTCATCCTTCCAGAGTACTTTACAGCTGTTTCTTTGGGTTTTCTAGCTTTCATTTTATGGAAGATATTTATCAGTAGGCCTACCAGGTTCGTGATGTCACCAGATTACAAGGTTTTGTCCCCTGTGAATAAAAGTTCAAACAAAGAGGCAAAATTAGATTTTCTGGGAGTATAAACATGTCCTTGTTTGTCTTTAATGTAGCTGATGGGCCATGGGTTACTTCCAGGTAAGGAACGGGGGTCTGAAGCCTTCATTTTCCTGAAGAGATTTCCAGGGACATCTCTGCATGGCGTGTGCCACGTTGCTTGTGTTAGTGCCAGCATCATCATCTTCATGTATTATTAATAGTCACTTTTCAATTAAATTATTAATTGGTTTTTCTTTAAGGTGTTTTCAACTCATGTGGCTAATATAAATAATTGTGTGTTTTGGAAACACCACCTGTTCTTGGGCCTGAAGTCAGGCAGCCTGGAAACAGCTCTACAGTGATCATACTCTGGTTTATGGAATCATCCTCTACTTTTTCTTTCTCTGCTCTCCACTGCCCTCTCTACTCCCCTCCCCCCACTCTCTCATGTGTGACAGAATTTGGCTTGTGCTCTCTTCTTTGTCCCTAATCGGACATGATTCCCTAGAGGCAGTCTTTTCTCCCAAAGCCCTAGCTGGAAAAAAAAAATTTTTTTTTCCCCCGGAATCTCTTTTGTGGACTAAAACAGAAAGAGGGGCTGTCTGTCCCCAACAGGTTAGATATTGATATTAATTCAAACCCAAATTATGTCGTGTAAAATGCCTTCTACATGGTGACGTGAGAGTTTTCATCGGCCCAACATCCCTTTTCCTCCTGCATCAGTGTGTGCTTGATGCTAATACGATCCCATACATACAGCCCTTCGCCTCGTGAGCTTATTCTATTTCTAACACTCGCATGGTTCATTATTGTGCAGTTAGAAAAGACTCAAGGCTGTGGGGCCAGCCTGGGTGGGAGGCTCAGAAAGGGTCAAAGCAGGTGCCTTTCTGTGCTGAGAGAATTCAGAGGAAAGGCAGACTGAGCTTGGGCTTCTGGCAGGGAGGACAGGGGACTTCCGGTGAGATTTCTGTGGGGCAGCCTTTGCGGATGGGAATGGAAAAGGTGAACCTGGGGAGATATAAAAGTGCCCAGCAATGGCTTTGACCAACAGGGGTGGCCGCCTGAAATCTGAGCCCTGGGCGTAGGCTCTCCCTGTGCAGGGCATGATCTGTCTATGCCTGATCTGAACCGATATGGCTTTTTATAAGGCGAGTCTTGTTAAAGAGACTGTAAGCTTAATTGCAAACTGAGACTTTTTTTCACTTTTCTTTTTCATTAAAAACTCTATCCTTCAAGTCTCACTGGAGAGCAGGGGATGTTTTTATAAGTTTCTGCAGCTGAAAAACAGAAGTGCTCTGTAAAGCAGTTAATAGGATGGGTGTGTGTTTCAAATAAATTCCTGTCCACATTGGCTAATGTCCCCATGCTAGAGTGGCCTGGCTGTGACGTGAATGGGGCCCAGAGACCGAGGGCTCCGGTTTGGAGGCCCCAGGCTGCTTTTTGTGGCCGAGGGCGCATCCCTTTCTTCTCGCCCGCTTCTAGGCCGGCCCCTGACTTTTGATGAGTGAGGGGGTCAGCGCCTGGGGAGGACCGGGGCTTTGTTCCCGCCGGGCGGGTTCCGGGCCAGGCGCAGGCCAAGCAGCCCAGGGCTCCGGTCCCCAGGCGCCAGGCGCGCGGCCCGGCCTGCCCGGAGGCCTGTGCGCGGAGCGCGGCCGAGCACTCGGGTCTCGCGCGCCCGCGTGTGTCCCCATGTCCCCGCGGGCGCGGCCACCGCCGCTGCTGAGCACCCGGCCTGCGCCCGGCGCGACTGTAGATGTCAGGCTTTGCCCGGGGAGCGGAGCGGCGGCGGGGCTGTGAGTTTCAAATTAACCTTCCGCTTTGTTGCTGTGTAATGTGGATCCCCGAAGGCCCCCCGCCCCGCCCGCCCCCCTTCCCCCGGCAGTGCGCGCTGCAAACTGCGAGTTGAGCTTCATTTACATAAAGCGATTCCGGGCGGGCGGGCGGCCGAGCCGGCGGCGGGCAGGCCGGGGACAGGGGCGCGAGCGCCTCGCCCCGTGGGTGAATCCCCGCTGAACGCCCGGGGACCCTCCCTCCTGGGGAGGGACGACTGCCGTCTCCGGCCACCATCATGAGCCCCTCTCCCCTGCCTGCGGCACCCTTGCACCTAGGCAGAGCCACCTCGGAGCCCCGGGGGCAGCGGGAGGTGGGCAGAATGCCTCCGGGGGTGGGTAAGTTTGGGGCTCGGATGCCGCTGGAATTTCCCACTGTCGCGCACGCAGCGGCCCCCAGACCTGCAAGTGCCTCCTCTCTCCGGAGGTGTGCGGAGCCTTTGTATGCCAGGTGAGTCGAGCCTCCTCCCCGCCAGCCTGCCTGCGGCGTTCGCGCAGCCGGCCTGGAGCTGCAGGCAGGTGCTGCGAGTCTTGGCTGAACTTCCCATTCTCTTGGGGCATGTGGGGGAAGGGCATGCTGGATGCACTTGAACTACTAGATCCAATTGGAACCTACCTGGAGTGAGAGCCTCTGCTGGGCACAGAATATAGCCCTCCCTCCTTCCCTCCCTTCCATCTTTCTTCCCCTCCCTCCTTCCTTCCTTATTTTGCTTTTGGATCAGTTCCTGCCTTCTGAATATTTGAGACGCTGGTGTCATTTGGAGTTTGGGTTCCTCCGCCTAAAAATGCACCCTTCTCAGCCCGAGAGAGGTCACTGGTCAGTTCAAAGCAGTATGAAGAATGCCTTGTTGAGCAATGAAGGAGAGAATCAGAGTTTGGGAACTGGAAGCACCTTTGGAGATCCACTTGGCCATCCTCTAATTTTAGTTTGTTCCCACTCTGGAAAAACCAGAGCAGCTTTCATTTCCATGGGGGCGTGGTGGTGGTGAGGGGGGTCCAGAGGGAGAGCTGAGATGTTTGTGTTCTGTTAAAGAAGGAATGCCCAAGTTAGGTCAGTAGCAGAAAGAAAGAAAAAAAAAAGTAATGGTTGTAGGCTTAGAGGGAGAAGAACTTTCTGGAAAATGGCCCTGTCTGCTTTGGACATACCCGTGTTATGATGGGAAAACGCCTGGAGGGCACAGCCCCACAGGTCATGCCTGGTGTAGCCTGAGTGCATTGCCTGGCACGGGGTGTGTGGTGTATAGACTGGTTTAAATGAGACCTGGGATCAGGTGAACCCAGCGGGGTCATCCCTTCCCCCACCTTCTGTCTGTGTCATTTAACTGGCCTTGAAGACTCTAAAGACCACTGACAGATAACCTCAGAGTGGATGGACCCTTGGACACAGGGAGAATGCCTGTCCCTCAGGCTGCGGCCTGCTGGGCGGAATGCATCAAGGCAGGCAAGGAAAACAAACTTAAACCTGCAAGGTAGATAGAAAGTTATGCGTCCTCTTATTTCATCCCATGCTTTGAGACCTTTGGAGACAAGTCACCGAATAAATAGAGTAGAATTTGAAGCTCACGCTAGCCTGGGAACTTCATTTCTTTGCCATCAGGCAGCAGGTGCGAGTCTGTAGAGCTGGCCCCCCGAGTCTCCCTCATTCCTAAATTCAGGAGGTGTCAAACCTTCATGTTCTTTTAATGGCTGTGGTTTCTGGATAGTTTTCAAGGGGAAACCCTAAAAATCACGAGTTCCAGTAGGCTGGGCTGGAGAGGGAGGCCTGAGTGCTGGGGCTGAGATTGCATTTGAGAGGAAAACATACACCTTCCCAGGTAACCTGATCGAGCAAGGCCGAGACCGGGAACGGGGGCCTGTTCCTTGTTATCAGAACAGCCACTGGCAGCCCGGGATTCTGAGCCTTTCTCATTACCCAACCCCAACACGGAAAGCAATTAGAGAACAGAGGTGGGGTCTGAGGGGAGTCAGGAGACCGCAGTTTGAAATAATTTAAGGGTTTCAAGAACGGGGTCATGGGAGAGAGGTACGTACCTGGGTGTTTGCACACCTGTATTTGTGTTCATTATACTTTGCACAGACCCCGAAGGCCCCCCTTTCAGAGGGTGTGGGGCTATGAAGGCCAAGAGAAACTTTTCCCTTCCTTAAATGACATGAGTGAGGACATTGTCTGCGTTTTGTTTCCAGCATGTTTTCAGGGAGCGTGTAAGTGCCTCTCAGAACAGGCTAGGGTCACACTTTGCTCTTTTATTTAATTACACAGGTGTTACTTAACAACATGGGGCCGATGCAGAAGCAAGCACTTCCACACTTTGAAAACAGCCCTTTTGGAGTCACAAGGAATTAAGTGACTTGAAGACCTACTGTCTATGACATGGGTCACCTCCCTTTCTTGACTCTCTTTTGAAATGGCTGAACTTTCTGCGGGGATAGAGCTGCTTTTTTCCAGTTGTCCCGAGAACAGTTTTGATTGACGGAACTATTGAGAAACACTTGCTAACTCTTCAAAAAAAAAAAAAAAAATTTGAGCCGCGTCCTCAACCACCTGAAACTTGAATTTTGGTTTCTTCCCTTCCGTCTTTTATTTGCACAAATGAATGCTTAGGCTGGGTGGAAGGGACCCAAATAAAACAGTGCTCTCAGCAGGCCTCTGTTTGGCTCCTCCCAACAGGACAGTGAAGTGCCTTCCTTCCTGCTTTGGGAATGGATTTAACCGCCGTGGAATCTCGCTGCCAATTGGACTGCCCAGTGGCAAGGAGCGAAAATAAGAGCAATTTCAGTTTTCATCATTATGACCTTAAATGATTACTCGACGCTTCCAGGACATGGCCTGGCTCACCTTGGGTGACCTAAAGGTTGTTAGTTCATTAGAATAAATACTAGTGAAATATTATCTGGGGCTGGTGATGATGTAGCTTGGTTCCTTCAGTTCTGGTCACAGGCGGTATCCAGGGAGTGTGTCCTTATTGTCCCTGTGTGCTATTGTTCCTTTTGGATGTGGGGGCTTTTTTTTTTTTCTCCCGAAGCATTAGTGTGAGAAATACCCCAGGGCCCAAAGCAGGCCCTTACTTAAGAAATTATTTTTACTGCCAAGTTGCAACAGTTTCATGTTAAAAAGTAAATATTGAAGTGACTAAGTAACATTTTTATAGCAGCGTAGGAAATGGCCAGAATTACTTGAAGGGAAAGAAAGAGGGGTCCTTAACCTCCACTTTTGATGGTAGCTAGTAGCCTGCTTGCTTCATACGCTGAAGGGCTTAGCCTCGTCTTGTAGAGGAGGCAAGCAACCGTGATTCTGACCTGAAGAAACTTGCAGGCTCCATCTCACACACTCGCCAGCAGCATTACAGGGATAATGCACCTGACGTCCAACATCAGTAACCTCAAGAAGTATATAGCATGTGCTGTGGTTTATACTTCCATTTGTTATTAAAATGGTTGCTTGCTCTTAGCCCGGCCTATTTCTGTAATGTTTGTGCCTGTTGGCCGACCCTGTCTGGTTCCCCGAGGCTGGTGTCATTAACCAGGATGGGGGCTTTATGGTGAAAACACAACAGGAAGGCAGATTCCCAGCACAGTGAACTTCACAGGGGTCTCCACATATTCCGGTATGAGAATTTGGTGGTAATGGTGATTATTAGAAATCACAGCCCAGCTCAGAATCACCATCCTCTCTGCCTGGGTTCCAAACTGTGGTTAGGGACAAAGGGGACCCCAGTTTTACTGGAATCCAGGCAAGGGAATTCCTTTGCAGGAGTTAATCCCAATCAAATAGTAAAGGGTGCCTGTTCTGTCTGGAGTGCTGTGTCCTGAGTCCTGAGGCCGCTCAGACTGAGAAACAAACACACAGAAGCTAAGATTTGAGTCAAACTGCCTGGAGGAAGAGAGAGACCCAGCAACAATTTTGGCTCATTGGCAAGCCACTCTCCAAATCCAGATTAAGGAGAAAAACTACAAAATCAACAACTGTCAGATTCCTTTTCTATATGATTTAAAGTTGGCTGCCAGATCGTTCGTTCCCTTTGAACATGTGGGAAGTGACAGTCAGATGTTCGGGGCCTTTTTTCACTAATATGGTAAATGACTTCTATATGGAGAGGAACTGGCGAACTGACAGCAGCATTGTGCTTGAGCGTCAGAAGCACTGAGACAGCTGAGGGTTTTTTTGCTTTTTTTTCTGGTTTTCATTCTTTGGAACGGGACAAGATGGTGAGGACGGGGCTCTCTTTGCATGGGCCAGCCGTGAGGGGCATGTTTCTAGAAAGTTCTTTGCCCAAGGAAGGTGTCTTGGCTCCTTATTGGTTAGTTTTAAAAATGATTTTGTTTTTTGCATTAGTTGTTTCTCTCCACCTTTCACCCTTAATTCCTGAAGTTTCTTGCTTTTTCAGGGATAAGGGTGTGACTAAAAATGGGAAGGAGACAGTTTGGTAGGTGGCAAATTTGGCTCCATTTCACACAGCAAGACTTTTGTTTTGTTGGTTTCAACCCCAGGCAGGGCCTCTTAGCATAATGCCTGTACTTATTCTGCATTTTGGGTGAGCCCTCCTTTCCCATGGGAGGGTCACCCTGCAGTCTGGTCAACGAGAGGATTAATGCACTGGGGTTTTTGCTGTGTGCCCTTCCAGAGAGGCCTTAGCTGGCCTCCTATACTGGGGGAGTGAGAGGAGGTCTAAGGTGGTTCAGCTGCTCTTTCTGGGAATTTTGTGCCACCTCCCAGATTTTTCCATCCTCTTCCCGCCCTGCATTTGGTCTAAGGAGTGGGGTAGGCAAAACCTGTCCCTTCTGGCTGCTGCTGAAGACATCACCGCTCCCCCACCCCCCCCAGCCTGCTCCCTGTGAAGACCGGGAAGCACCGGAACCTTCCCCCCTTCTATTCTGCTAATCACTTAATGGCCTGAAAGGCTTTCCTAAATGATTATCTTGTCTTTAATTTTAAGTGGGTCTTTGGAGCAACAGTTGGGAGTGTATGGAGTAGTATCTGTAAGGCCACTCTGAACTGGGAAAACTGGCTCCATTGGACTCTGGGAAAAGACGGTGGAATTTTCATCTGCTGCTGATTTCATGCACTGTCCTGAAAGTGATTTCAGCCACAAACCTTTGATCTGGGAGTGAGACTTTCCCCTACTCGTGTGCTTCTGGGGGCTGGAGTTAGC